TGCCGGCTCCGCTCCCCGCTCCCCGCCATGAGCAGCTCCCAGTTCAACAAGGGCCCGTCCTACGGCCTCTCCGCCGAGGTCAAGAACCGGGTGAGTCGCGGCGGGGGCGAGTCGGGGGCCGGGGGGTACCGCGGCGGCTCCCGGTACTCCTGGGCACTCTGGAGAGCCGGGCATCCCGGTGCCGTTAGGGGGTGCCGGTTGCAGGCCGAGGTCCTGGAGAGCCGGGAGGTCCCGGTGTGCCCCGGACATGTGTGTGGAGCCGGAGGGGGCCCGGTGCCACTGGGGGCGGAGAGTGGAGAAGTCCCGGGGGTGGAGATTGGGGGTTCCCGTCGCCGTCGGTGGGCGGAAAGCCGGGGGGTCCCGGGAGGATGGGGAGCTGGGGGTCCCGGTGTGCCGGAGCTCTGAGGGGCAGGGGGTGCCGAGGCTGGGCTCCCCATCTTGGGGTGCGCTGGCCCTGCCCACGGGGTCCCGGGGAGCTGTTTCAGGGGGACCGGGGTTGGGAGGGGTCACGGGCACCGGCCACCTTGCCCACCCCTGCCCAGGCCCGTACGGTGGCTGCTATTGCCCCCAGCAAACCCCAGGGCACTGGGATGCTCCGACCTGTGTCCCGGTGTCCCTTGCTGGGGACAGGGCTGGTGGCCCAGGCGGGACATGGGCAGGAGCAGCCCCCGGCCCACGCCTGCCCCTCGGAGCCCAGGACCCCCGGCCAGGCGCACCTGGGGCAACCTTGGCCACCCAGGCCTCGCGCGCCCGAGCCACTCTCCTGCAGAGTTGCCACCGAGCCGCCACGGGGCCGGAAGGGGAAAGGGGAACCGATGCCTCTGGCCAGGCTGTTTACACCGCGGGGAAGGAGCCACGCACCGCAGGGTGCCCCCCCTTGCCCAGGCAGGTGAAATCTCCCCTCCGCCGAAACGCTGAGGACGGGTCTGGGGTGCTGGTAGGCAGAGCTGGATGCCTGGATGCACCCCATGGCTGTAGGTGCCACCATCCCTGCCATCGCTGTGCTGCTGGGGCAGGGGGGTCCGGCACCGCAGGCACAGGGGTCCTGCTGGGCCAGGGGGAGTGGGGGGATGCAGCAACCCCTTCCCTTGGCTGTGCTCCCTGCACAGCCCCGGGCTGGGCTCTGGGAACCGCTGCCGCCCTGGGCAGTGGCAGAAGCACTGGCCACCGTGCTGGGCTGTGCCCGGCCCTGGGCAAGCAGAGGTTGAGCTGTGGTCGCCCCTGTCCCTGGGGCAGCCGGCCGGTGGCCCTGCGTGGCCGTGCCCTGCCTGGGGACACGGGAGCTGCCTGAATGGGACAGGGGCAGGCAGGAGAAGGGACACTGGGTCGCTGCCTGCGCCGCTGCCGGGGCTCGGCCGTGGGTGGCTGTGGGGATGTGGCGGCCGTGGCCGCAGCTGGGGCCGGGCTCTCCTTGCCTGGCCTCGCAGGGGATTTGCATTTCATCACCGAGCGAAGACGGGTCCCTGCTTGCATCTGGGCTGGGCTGCACCAGCGCTGAGCGGGTGGACACGCGCTGGAGCCTCGTCGCTGCGTGCTCTTGGGCACTTCAGCTTGATTCAGCAAGACTTAGGCAAGTTTAACTGCCCTGGTGTGTCTGCTGGAGGCTGACATCACCGACTGGGAACCAGTTAAACCAGTGGCACTCTCCCAGTCTGTGCAAGCCTTTGCAAACTGGGCTGTGGTGGGATCTGCTCTGGGGCTGGTCCCCTCTGCCCCCTCCCATGCCCTGAGAAACCCCCACACTGGCCATGGCGTGGGAAGAGGAACCGGCAGCGGCTGCCCACGCTCCAGAAAATCAGCTGGTAGGACAGTGGGATCTCCCGGATGGGATGCACATGGTGCCATGAGTGTGTCCCTGCTTGACTGGACTGTCCCTCCATCCTGCAGCAGTCGAGCTTTCCCTTTGGGGCTGCGGCTGTGGGGCCGCAGCTCTGCGCAGCCTACAGGCACGGCTGGTGTCCCCCCCCACACACAGCAGGGCCAGACCATGCCCATCCTGGGGCCCCTCCGTGTCTGGAATCCCTGGGGACTCATGGCCCCGGTGTGTACTGGGACGAGGAGGGGACGGGATGGACAAGAGGTCGGTGGCTGCCTTGCGGCCATCTCCGGGTGCCAGCTGAGCACAGGAGGGTCCAGGCTGGGGCAACGATGGCACTTGGGGCTTCCAGGCTCTTCCTGCGCAGCCCCTTCCTTCCCGCCCCAGGCCAGGGTGCCTTTTCCTTCCGTCGTGGGCCAGGGCCGAGGCGACGCTGCCGGTGATGCTGCCGGCCCGGGCAGCTGGTCTCCATTTGGAAGGAGGCATCCGCATTCCTGGCATAGCCGCGGTGACCGAGGAATCTGCGGCGGCGCGTTCGGCCCCGCCGGAGGGGAGAGCATCACGCAGCCAGGGACCCCCGGGGCTTGGTGCTGGGCTTCCATGGGCTCCAGGGGACAGGGAAGAACAGGCCCTTGGAGGGACACGTTTCCCCCCGGCCCCCACAGGTAGTTCCTCCTCATCCTCCAGGAAAAGTTCAGAAGTTGCCGTGTGTGAGGGGCACCGTGGTCTGCAGGCTCGTGCCGGATCTGGCTGCACCAACGCCTGCGTCTGACAGCAGCATCGTGCTCGTGCTCCCATTCCTATTCCCGTGCATTCCCCAATGGACGGGGATGTGGGAGGCTGGAGGCGGGGGGACATGTCCTCCCCTGTGATGGGGTCACACTGTGGCTTTACTCCCACCCGTGGATCTTGCCGCCTGCCACCCCCTGGGGGTTCCTGCTTGCCAGGAAATCGTGGCTGAACAAAAATCCTGGCACCATCCAAGCCGCCCACTGCACCCACCTCACTGTCCGGCTCTCTGAGGCTGGGGGCAGCCGGGCTGGGGGGGGTTGCTCCACCACCCTGCAGAGGCTGGGGACCAGCCTGGCACTGCCAGCATCCCCAAGGCTTCCCGGGGACCGTGCTTGGGATGGGGCTGCTGTCCCCAGACCTCGCCACGGGTCTGTGCCTGGGGTGGGGGAGCCGTCCCCCGTGAGGGGTTTGGGGTGCACACCAGGGCCGTGCCTGAGCTGCCCCCTCACCATCCCCTCCCAGCTCGCCCAGAAGTACGACCCGCAGAAGGAGGCTGAGCTGCGGACATGGATCGAGAGCGTCACAGGGCAGCAGATCGGGCCCGATTTCCAGAAGGGGCTGAAGGACGGGGTGATCCTCTGCGAGTGAGTCCTGCGCCGAGCACAGCCCCTTGGCCCCTGCTCCGTTTGGATGGGGATGGGGGACACCTGCCCCCCAGGGGACCCCCACCAGCCGTTGGGGTGGGAAGGGTGGGCTGGATCCAGCCATGCCCATGCCCATGCCCGTGGGACCTGCCAGCTAATGGCAGCCAGAGATTTTTCTCTGCAGCACTGCTTGGCTGGAGTTGTCCCCAACGCACCCACGTCTAGGGGGAGCTCTGGGGACCAGCAGGGACATGGAGGGGGGAATCGCCTCATGCTTGGAGGGGAGACCTGGGCTGGACCTTCCCGAAAGGGGCCCGTGCCCCACTGCCGGGGGCGGGGGTCTCTGCCCCATCGCAGCCCCCGCTCCCCCTGCCTCCCTCCAGGCTCATGAACAAGCTGCAGCCCAACTCGGTGAGGAAGATCAACCGCTCCGCTCAGAACTGGCACCAGGTAGGTGCGGGCAGCCCTGCCTGCGACTCACCGCCGCTTAGCCCCGGCTCCACCCCGGCCCCTCTGCCGTCACTCACTGGGGTCCTATGCCTCTCTGCCCAGCTCGAGAACCTCTCCAACTTCATCAAGGCCATGGCCAGCTACGGCATGAACCCCGTGGATCTCTTTGAAGCCAACGACCTCTTTGAGAGCGGGAACCTGACGCAGGTGCAGGTGTCGCTGCTGGCGCTGGCTGGCATGGTGAGTGCATGGGGACGAGCGGCTTGGGAGGGGGCACAGCCCCAGGGGGACCAGCTGGGTGGACCCCCAGCTCAGGGTGATGCCCGCGGGACCCTGTGTCTCCCCCTGCCCAGGGTGTGGGTGGGAGGTCTGGGACCCCCATCCTTCCTCACACCCCTCCCCGGCAGGCCAAGACGAAGGGGATGCAGAGCGGTGTGGACATCGGCGTGAAGTACTCGGAGAAGCAGCAGAGGAACTTCGATGAGGCCAAGATGAAAGCTGGGCAGTGCGTGATCGGGCTGCAGGTGGGCTGCCCCGCACATGCTCCCGAGGGCCGGGGTGCTGGGTGAGGGGGGGGCCAGTTTTATCTAACCCTCAGCACCATCACGGCTCCAAGCATGGCTGGGGGGACCTGAGGCTCACGGTGCCTCAAGTGTCCTCGGGATCTGGGACCATCTCGGCTCCGTGTCCGGCACTCAGTGCCCAGGAGCCTGGAGAGGCTGCACCTGGGCTGGGTTGGGGAGCGCTGGCTGTGTCCCCCAGGCTGCAGGGGTGCGGGGGGCGGGGAGGAGAAGGGGCACGCGTGGGGCAGCACTCGGTCCTCACCGGACCCCCTTGTCAGATGGGCACGAACAAGTGTGCCAGCCAGTCCGGCATGACGGCCTATGGCACCAGGAGGCACCTCTACGACCCCAAGAACCAGATCCTGCCGCCCATGGACCACTCCACCATCAGCCTCCAGATGGGCACCAACAAGTGTGCCAGCCAGGTGAGCCACCGCGGCCACGGTGGAGAGGCACGATGGTGCGGGGGACCACGGCTGAGCCCTGCTCCCTCCTGTCCTTCCAGGTGGGCATGACGGCTCCCGGCACCAGGAGACACATCTACGATGCCAAGATGGGGACGGAGAAGTGCGACAACTCCTCCATGTCACTGCAGATGGGCTCCAACCAGGGCGCCAACCAGAGCGGCCAGGTCTTCGGCCTTGGCCGCCAGATCTACGACCCCAAGTACTGCCCGCAGGGCAGCCAGGGCGAGGTGGCCAACGCCGCCTGTGACCAGAGCGGGGACCCCCCCGGGTACCACTACTACCGCGAGGAGGAGGAGAGCTACTGAGTGGGACGTTGCCCAGCCCCATCTCGCACCATCTCTTGTACAGACCCCATTGCCAGCGACATTCCAGCCTCTACTTTCATCATTCCCTCTTTTTAAACTCTTCTATTTTTTTTTTTAATTTTGAAATGAATCTATTTTTCTGAGCATGGAAATAAAGACCCCATTTCTAGAGACCGGCCGGTTCCCGCAGCCCACGGGTGTCCCGAGGCCCTAGCACAGCCCCGGCATTTGCAGCAGGAAGGTGGCAGATGCTCCAGTGCTGAGGAGCGGACAGCGTCTCCTCTCACGCAGCCAAGAAGATGCGTTCCCACCCGCTGCCCACCACGCCGCCCCTGCGATGCTCTGCCGCGGCAGCACCCGGATCCCTTGGCAAGGTGGGGGGGCAGCCGCCCACGCTGCTCCCGGTGCCGCTTCTCATCCTTGTGCTGGCAGGACCCGGCTCGGCCCCACAAAGGAGAGGGGCTTGGGTCAGTGGGAGCACGGCCAGAAGAGACCCCCAGGCGTGGGGGAGCCCGGGGTGCTGCAGGGCCTCGGCCCAGGGACGGGGATGCTGCGTGTGTGCATGTGTGTGAGTGTGTGTGTGTGCACGCTGCCAGCGACCTCGCACACTCGCGTGATCTCTAGAAGTGAAGCTGGAAATGCCTTTTTTGCAGAACTTGTAGGGACGAAGTTTCCGAGGCCCTGGTCGTGGCCGCAGGGCTGGGCTGGGAGCCGGCACACCCAGCACCCGGCTGCAGCTCCGAAAGCCGCAGTAATCCGATCGCCTGGCGGACTGGAGCCAAGGCTGACTCCGACGGCTACATCCTGCACCGCAGGGCGATGCCCGAGTACGGGCAGCTGCCAGGGCAGCGCATGTGGCTGGGGATGCTGGTGCACACCGCAGTCCCTTGCTGTGCCCATCGGCTTCTTCGCCTCCTGTGGGTTTTCTAATGTAGATGCTCTTATATTGAAACCTTTTTTTTTCTATAAAAAGAAAAAACCCTTTTAACTTAAGCAGGAGCCAGTTCCTGCTGCAGGCTCCTTGTGTCAGTGCTCAGGCCGAGTCCGCCGCAAACCTGGGGAGGGTGGGAGCTGCTGCTGACCTGGGCAAGGCCCTGGAGCGCTGGGGCCATGGGGTGGGAGGCTGCGCTCTGGGGGGCCGAGCTGCTGCGTGTCCCCGGGGTCCAGTGTGCCGAGCAGGGAACCGGCTGTGGGGTTACCGGTGCCAACGTGGGCAATAAAAACTGTCCCAAAGGGACAGGCTGTGCCGTGCTGTCCGGCGCCAGGCAGCGAAGCAGAGCTGGGCACTGCGGTTAAACGCGGGGCGGCCAGATCCTGCTGGCACTGGCTGCTCCCGGGACTCGGCATCGCCCTGGGCGCAGCCGAGGGGCCTGCAGGACCCAAACCCAAGTGGTGCCCCCCGGGAGCCCTGAGAGCCATGTCCCCCCGGTTGCCCTGGCTGTGCCTGCACGGGCCCTCTCTGGGCAGGGACCCACCTTTTGGGGTGAAATGCTGCATTTCAGACCACCGCGCTCCCCCCGCTCAGGCCGCAGCCGCCAGCCAGGCGTTACCGCCTGCTGCAACAAGAGCAGCTCAGCTTCGCTCCCGGGGGGGCCCTGCCCGCAGCATCGAGCCGCCGAGGTTCGCCGACGCCAGCGCGGCGCCGCCGGTTGCGCTGCCCGCTGCGGCGTGACTCAGCGGCTTTTGCCTTCGGGACCCTCCCGGGGCCATCGCTGCCACCCACCACCCCAATGTCACCCCGGTGCCCCCCCCCCATCTCGAGGCTGCCATAGCCCGGGGGGCTGGGGGACCCTGATGGGGAAGGGTCTGTCCCTCGGGAGCCCGGCGAGGGGGGACGGTGGGTGGGTGGGTGCTCTCCCTGCCCACCGCCTCGGCGGGCAGCCGGGTGGTCCGCGGGCAGTGGGATGGCCTGTCCCCCCCGGGGGGGTCTCAGATGACCCCAGGCCGGGTTGCAGCACCCACGGTGGGGGCTCTGCTGCCCCGTGGGGCTCCCAGGGGATGGGGCGGGGCAGGGGTGTGGCATGGGTGGGGCAGGGGCGTGGCCAGAGCTCGGCAGGGGAAGGGCTCCTGCCCCTCGCGCGCTCCCGTGACCCGCCCCCGGCCCCTTTAAAATCCGCTTCCCATGACGTCACTCCCGCGGCTACTTTGGAGGGCGGGGAGGGCGGGGCCTGCGCGCGAGCCCGGCGGAGCCGGCCGGCGGAGCCCGCGGGCTCTCTTAAAGGGGCCGCGCGGTGGCGGCGGGAGCAGGTAACGGGGGTCCCGGGCCGGGGGCTGCTG